TATATAGAGAGAGAGAGAGAGAGAGAGAGAGACAGAGACAGAGAGAGACAGAGAGACAGAGAGACAGAGAGAGAGAGAGACAGAGAGAGAGAGAGAGAGTAATGTAGATTTCATAGTAGAATTGTAAATGGGCTGATTTATTAATGTCATGCTCATACTGTGCGGGGAACTGCTGCCTTTTCTTTCCTCATCCTTACTATCACCATTTTCATCTACTTTTGTATTTTTGTCACTCTCTTGTGAACTGCTATTTACGGGGTGCCTTGATAGTTAAAGCAGACTTACTGCTGTTGAGACTAGAGAGGTGACAGAGTAAGCCTGCCCCCCCCCCTCCCACACACACACAAAGAGATGGGCAACGCATTGGCCCCATATGGGCTGGCATCTGGGCACCATCTGGTAATCCCACTCCGCGCCACGTGGTTTTTGCTCATGGGCGATTGAAAGGGCCTATATGTGTCTGCCCATGCCCAGCCCATATCCAGCCCATGCCTAGCCCAGGTGTAGACCATATGTTTTTGACTGACCCACATGGGCCTCATGTCTGCCCCACTCGTTTTTACACACAAGACACGGGCATTGCGTGGTATACAGCCGTTCCAAACAGAAACATGTGGTATGTTCTACTCTGTCCCACGCCTGGCCCGGATGAAGCCTGCATGTTCCTGGCTAGCGCACATGGTCTCCATGTCCAGCAGACATATTCCTGGCTAGCCCACATGGTCTCCATGTCCAGCAGACATGTTCCTGGCTAGCGCACATGGTCTCCATGTCCAGCCCACATGTTCCTGGCTAGCCCACATGGTCTCCATGTCCAGCAGACATGTTCCTGGCTAGTGCACATGGTCTCCATGTCCAGCAGACATGTTCCTGGCTAGCCCACATGGTCTCCATGTCCAGCAGACATGTTCCTGGCTAGCCCACATGGTCTCCATGTCCAGCAGACATGTTCCTGGCTAGCCCACATGGTCGCCGTTTGGACTTCTCTGTTGACATCCACCCCTTGGCGCTCATATGACCCTATCTGTCCCCGTTATTTTATGCACCCCACATAATTTAACAAAATTTGATCATTTTTTGGGCATAATTTCTGATTATTTGCTGTCACCATTCTTTGTTAAAATTAACAGAATCACATACTTTCACATTTTTGGGCTCTGTTTGCATAATTTCAGAATTTTTCTTGCCTAAAACGACGGGGACAGCCTTATGCAGTTGCGAGCGCCGTAAAACCTCACTAAAACTAAACTTAAGAAGCCGGCCTTCTAAATAGGCTTCAATCATGTCGCTGGGGATTGTTATACAATTATGATAATTTAATAATTTATTTCATTTCGACGATGATTTTCTAGGCAGACGACGACACTTTTGTGATTCCGGAGAACTTGCGTCACTTCCTGTCGGACAAAAACACGTCGGAGCCGATCCACTACGGACATCTGTTCCGACCAAATGTGGAGCAAGGCTACTATAGGTGAGGTCACCTTTCTTGTTGTTGTTGTTGTTTTTCCTCCTCCTCCTCCTCCTCCTCCTCCTCCTCCTCCTCCTCCTCCTCCTCCTCCTCCTCCTTTTTCTTCATATTAAATTATCGATATCTTCTTACAACTTGTTTAATTGTTTGTCTTGCTTTTAATGATAAAAAATACCCTTCCCTCTTGAATAGATGTTGAGGTATATATGATCAAAGGAGGTGGGGGTTTTGTGGTCTCATAGGATAAATTTGCAAAAAAAAAATGGTCACCAAAGTTTTGTGACATCTTAAGTTAAGCTTGATTGAGAGTCATTGGAAACTGCAAAATTAAATATATTATGTGAGGCAGCATGGGGAAATAGGGTGCACGTCAAGATAATGAAATCGAAGAAACAGCCATTTTTCCGTCAGTTTGGCAATTTTTATAGAATTTTTGTTTTTTGGTTCAGCACCTTTTATGTCCATAGAAAAACGCATTTCCTTGTTCATGTCACTATATAATGTTAAAGGCCAAAATGTGTAATTTTTTTTTAGCTTTCAAGTACTCTGATACTATTGAAGTTAGCAAACTTTGGTGGCTATTTTCTTCCAACTTTTACCACTAAAACTTGGTGATCCCACCTCCTTCAACCACAACATAAATCTAGATTTCTTTTTTAGATCGTTTTGTATTTTTTCCCCTTGAAAGCAAGGCAATAAATGAATAAATATTCAGCTTATGATATCAATAGCTCTACATGCTCAAAACTTGATCGGGGGCTCTCGTGGCCTAGAGGTTAAGGTGTTGGCCTCTCATTCAAAAGGTCCCGGGTTCGAATCCGGGTAGCGACCGAAAATTTTTCTTCTCTAAATTTGTCTTCTTTCACCTCGTTTCCTGCTCTTTAACAATGTTCTGTTGTCTGCTTTCGTCTCCTCTGTCTGCCCCCACCCCCTCACCTCCTTTGCCCCTTCCTCTGGGCTCGTGATTCTTTCTGCAGCCTTTCTACTGCTGCTCCTTCGCTTCTTCTTACTGCTGTCTTTCAGCCACACGCCTGGTCTTCTGGTAGGAAAGGTCTACACCTAGCCTTCTCGGACAAGGGCGAAAAATCTCGGAGGGCCCGTGTGCAAGTTGCGCACGTTAAAGATCCCTTGGTGGTCTAAAATCGATAAGAGTAGGCTTCGGCCGCCACCCGGGCAAAATTCAAAAATTTCCTACCAACTGAATATATTAGGTGTGTCCCGCGCGCTCATAATATGACCTTATGCAGTTGCGAGCGCCGTAAAACACTTTACAAAAACAAAACAAAAAAACAAAAATTGATCAGCGTTTGATTCCATGGCTTCATGACATCTTAAATTATTATTACAAAGTGACTATTTCTCCGTGTTGCATTGGAGTTTGTTGCCATTGTTGTAATTCAGAAGGCAAAAGTAAAAACTCTGTTTCTTGGTGAAGAAGGTTGATTTATTTAACATAATATAAGAAAATGACATGAGGTCTGCCCTCTCTTTCTTCACTGACAAGACTGAATCATAATGAGCATGAGCACATGTGGTTAAAACAGGAAGGAGGAGTGAGTACAAATTACTAAGAGATCCGACAATCGTTGGTGTGAGGGCAGATAAACTTAAAGTACAATTACAGGGACATAATTCAAATTAATCATGGTAATACAGGGACCAACAATCCAGGATTATTGTTGCCCTTCTATATAAGCAATCTTACACTCCGAACGCTCGGGAAAATAAATGTGAACTCTATTTCTCCGAACGGTTTCTGATCTCGAGATTTTCCGTTATTTGTGAGATTTAGGCATCATGTTTCGTTCTGCCATTCTACGAGGACTGGGAGGAAGCATTTTTTTTGCATCGAATTCAATTTTTATAGCTAGAGATTTTTAAATGTCTGAATATTCAGCTACTTCAGTTGTGGTAGGGGCAACGTTCCCGGACTACACTTCATTTGAAAATACATATTGTACCTTCAAAAGGTACCGCGAGAAAACAAGACTGCTCGACTTTGTCAGTAACTTGTTTTGCATTTAGTCACCCAGCAAAAACTAAACTCCTTCATGTAAAAAAAAAATCCCTCCTCGCCC